CTAGGTCATCCGGCTGCGTGTGCTGGAACTGGGTGTAGAACCCAAGTGCTCGCTCTTCTGTCTGTAGTACTCAGGTGCTTGCTGTTGTGCCTCTCAGGTGATGGGCTGCATTCTCATTCCCTAGGTCTGATTGTTGAGGGTCCAGATCTGAAGAAGTGGTCAAACCAAAGTAGGTGTGTCGGCATGAGTGGCGTGTTTCACTTGTTCACAGTTAAGGTTGTATGTATAGCTAGTCTACAGTGAAGCCTGTGTCTGATCCCTGGCCTACTTGATTCTAAAACCTGTTTTTTTTTCCCCCATTATTCCTGGAGGTCAGAGATCATCAACCTCATATCATAATGCTGATTTCTATATGTCATATCTGAATTATTTTGAAAGGTGCCATTTGATGTATAGCAAATATCATCCTACAAAGTATCCATTTCATGAGCTGTCCACGTTCGGTTTTTAGTACTTTTTTGACTTCTCCCCATATTGTACCAGTGCCTTTTTCCCTTCTTCTGAAATGTTGACTTATTTAGCAAACTGAGTCCTTCACGTGGAACAGTATTTTTGTTCTTTGAAACTAATTCAAGTTCAAAGCATCTGACATGGATTTTTAAATACACATTTTGACCAATTATTTTGAAAAAAAGGTACATTTGGAGGGGGGACAATCAGTGGGGTGTGTGTTGTACACACGTTAATGTATTAGATTAGACTTGAGATTTGGGAAAGCATACTTTGATTTTAGACATTTATATTAGGCACTCAGCAATATATTGTCTAAGCTATTGACTGCCTGTAGGTAAATAGCAATAAGTAATAATTAATAGACCTGTCTTAAAAATATAACACTTAGTTTCCGCCTCACTTTTTTCTTCAGTTATTGGAACATGTATGTGCTATGATGCTGGAATGCCTTGCTTCAGAGGCTGGCAAACTGTGGCTGGTGGGCTGGATCTAGTCTGTCTGGTTTGGTGTGGCTTTTGAGCTGTGATTCTGCAACCTTTTAAAAAGGAAAGAAGGAAAGAAGTATATATGGCTACAAGGCTGAAAACATTTACTATGTTGCCCTTTACAGAAAAATAAACAGTTGGCCCACCCCTGCCTTACCTGTAGCTTTCCAGGTGGCTAGAAAAAGTGAATAATAAAACCATTTAAACTCTTAGAATCCAGAAGATGCCACGTATGCCACAATATTAGCATGAATCATTTCATGAGCACAAACAAGGAAACGTCAATTTGATAAAAACATCTTTTTCCAATACTGTAGAACTCTGTAGGTATTTGTAGAAACAATGGCACATTTTAAAAATCAACTCCCTGTTGATCCTTAATTAAGTTGTAAATAAATTATCCATCGCTTGTTGAGAATGTGTATCCACAAAGAACGCTCTGTGGTTCTGTTGTATTCCAGGTAGTGAGTAGATATCAAGTAATAGTAACATGGGGAAATGGCAACAGATACTCTTTTCTTACCCCTCTCTTAGAAGTTTTTGTATACCTGGTTGTTTATTCCTAGAAGTTTTTTAAGCTCTTTGTTCCTCCTTATACTTAGCTTTTCAGAACAGTAGGTATCCTTGCTAATTTGAACCTTTATGCGCATTTTTAAGGATAACTAATGAGAATAGTAATACTATATATAACATCTTCAGCCTCCTAAAATGTTTATATTTTAGATTTGCAACTAGTAAGCTTGGAAATTAGTTTTTACATTATGCAAACTTTTTGTTTGTGTGGCATGGTCTTCAAAGAGTGGATTAAACTAGTCTAGTAGTCTATGTATTAATAGTTAATAGCACAAAGTATGTCTTGATACTATACAAATTACAGTAATACAGGCTGAAGAGCATGTATGTAAACACAAGCAAATATATTTACATCACTGATTTTTAGTATGCACATGTCTTTGAAGGATGCTATATTATCTGTATCTTTGAAAGGAACAAAATGCGTTCAAAGTTCTTTTTAAAAACCTGTACTAGTGAGGAACATTACAAAGAAGAATAAGTCCAGTCATTTTGTCTCCAGCTCCATGAACCTGATTTCATCTCTTTGTAGATTTTTATGTTTACAGAAAGTGATTTCTAGTAGGGTATTTGTAACAGTTGAAATGGCAATTACCTTAAATCATTTTCTGTATTTTTATTGCATAACATTAATGTTGCTTTAAAGTAATATTAAAACAAACAAATCACTTTTATTCTCATTCTTTTCTAGTTCTTATTCATATGAGTGCGTATCTTTTATAATTATAAATACAGTGGGCCCTAAGATCCAGTCAACTGGCTCTTCATGGGGAAAAAAAACAAAAAATAATAGAACAACTAAAGATAATATATGTGAAACCATCTCTATACACTGTATACCTAGGTTTTATTAGGTGTTACAGCTAATCTCTAGGGGATCTAAAGCATATAGGAAGACATATGTAAGTGATAAGCAAATAGTATGCCATCTTATACCAGAGACTTGAGTATCTGCAGATCCTGGTGTCCTTGGGGTTCTGGGACTCACCCTCCAGCAACACTAGGGAGGCTTCGTATATAAATCGAATGTGGTAGTTTAGTTTTTTAAGCAGAAAGCTGTTTAGCTCACATCACAATTATTTCTGAGTGCATTATATTCTTTGAAATGGTCTCATATATAAACCTTTTCTCAGTCATTAAACATAACATTTTTGATATTTGTAAATGGTATAATAAACAACCACACTTTAAAAAGTATCAGATGACCTATATATATATATAGTTATCTTCACCGTTTTAAAAATTCTGATAGCAGTTTCACAAAAGTAATGATGCCTAGCAAGATTAGTTCTGTTTTATAGAACTTTTTTTTTTTTTTTTTTGAGTTGGAGTCTCACTCTGTCACTCAGACTGGAGTGCAGTGGCCGCTCCCGGCCACCGCAGACTCGACCTGCTGGGCTCCGGCGATCCTTCCGCCTCAACCTTCCAAGTAGCTGGAATTATAGGTGCGCGCTACCACGCTCGGCTGATTTTTTGATTTATTGTAGAGATGAGGTCTCGCTGCCCAGGTGCGTCTCGAACCCGCGGGCTCAGGCAATCCACTCATCTCAGCCTCCCAAAGGCGCGGGATTACAGGCTGAGCCACCGAGCCCGGCTACTTGACAGTTTCTTATGAGGAAGTACACTGTACTAAGCAAATGAAAACCTTACGCTTTCCCGTCCTGTTGAAGACTGTTGATAAAATGCAGTAGCCACTTCTCATAAAATTCTTTTTTTAGAGGGATTTTTTTAAATGACTTGTTTCTACTTTTAGAAACTCATTCTTTGTACGTAAAAACACATGAGGACATACTTTCTGATACAGTCTGAGCTTCTTGAGCACGGGGAGTTATGACTGTTTGTCAAGTGCTGCACCCTGGTTTCTAGAACAGGACCCGGTGCTTGATGGGCTCTCAACAAGTATTTGGTGAATGAGAAAAATTTTAAGACTGTTTTTAACAGTATTATGTTTGGTATATTTTACAAATTTACCAATTTGTAATATACTCTAAATATTCATTAGAAAGAGGTTGATTAAAGTGTAGAATAACCAGTATTTTTTGTTTAAAAGCAAAATAGTATAAACAAAATAGTATTTTATTTTCCATGTGTACCGATATTGACCCATTTTAGTCCATGAAGAAAGCAAATAGAAGAACAGTATACATATACTTTATTTTTAATATTTCAGCTTACAAAATACCCACCCATACATAGCAGCTCTTAAAACTTTTTGGTTTCCTATAATTACTGAGAACCTAAATGACTTTTGTTTGTGGGAGATACATATATATGTGTGCGTTTATATTATAAATCTGTCTTTTTCTCATATGGTAAATATATATTATACATTTTAAAAATTACAACTGAGAAAATTTTAATTTACTTACCATGTAGGGTAAGGGTAATGAACCTATTATATGTTAAAATAAATAACATATTTTTATGAAAAGTAACTTTTTAAAATAAAAACATTAAATGAGAAGAGTGGCATTGTTTTACATTTTGCAGATCTCGTTAGTGTCCTGCTTAACCAAAAGCAACTGGCTTCTTGCCTGCCTTTGTATTCAGTCTGTTATGATGTTGTTTTGGTTGAAGTACATCAGGAAGATCCAGCTTTACACCACTGTGTCGTCAAATGTCAGTCACTTTTTCAGATAATTGTAGCGAATATTCTTTTTTGAGTCTGCACCAAACCTCTACAAGTAGAGGTTTGTTTTTAGTAGTAGTTTCTTTGTTTTTAGTAGTAGTAGTGTCTTAAAGGTTAGGTGTAATGTGGAATCTGAAACCGTGGCAGTGAACTTTTGTAAGTCCTTTAGACTTTGAGTGAATCTTTGACCCATACATGACTTTATAGCTCTGGGTATCGGTCACTTGAAAAATACTGGTTTACTGAATTATACAGATCTTCCCATTGTTGACATTTCATTAGGCCATATCAAAAAATCACATTTGTTAGCATTACACAAATCTCACTGGAAGGTCTTCAAGTTATTGCAGAGCTGTCCAGGTCATTGATAGGATTGCAAGTTTTCAAAATTCTACTTTGTACTTGAACACTTAAATTTTATCATTGGTAACACATTCAGGTTTTCTTGAGTCTATAGGCTTACTGCAGACACTTGTTGAGAAAATGTCTGAAACATCCAAATCCAAATGGTTTACTAGTTGTTATCTGAAAATAGTGTTCTGTTTTAAAAAAGTGGTTAATTCACTTTTAGCACAATGGCACTTAAAAATAAATGATAAAAAAAAACTTCCAAATCCGTAAAAACAAATAAACACAAAAAGCCAAAAGGGAAACAGCAGATATTAACAGTGGTTATATTGGAGTCATGGGGAAATGCTCACTTTTTGTCTTTTTCTCCTTTTATTTTTCTGTTATGACTCGTACATTTTTATTATGTTTGGTGTATAGTTGAAATAAAAATGTTATACAAAGTATGATGCTTATAAAATACCTTACAACAAAGAGGTTCCTTTTTTTTCCCCCTCTATTTTTCTTGTTAGGATTTAGGTCCTGAATATGAAGATGTATTTAACACCTCACTGCAGTGGATCCTAGAAAATGGAAAAGATGTTGGGATAAGGTAAGAATTTGATGTCCCCTCTGACTGTTTTGTACTGTAAGAAGTGATTTTGACTTTAAACTCTACCTTGTTTCTTTTGAATAGGTGTGTCGGTTTTGGCCCTGAGGAAGAACTGACAAATGTCACAGATGTGCAGTTTTTACAGTCCACAAGACCCCAGAGGTCTTTTTGGTGTCGCTTTCGACGTGCTTTCATTACTGTAACTCATAGGTTATTGTTGTTATGCTTAGGTAAGTCGTGAAGATAAGAAAGAAGATATATTGCAGTCTAGAATTCTTGTATGTCTATATTTCACTAAATTCCAGAGTTGACAATTCACTTCCATGATGGTTGCCGTATAAAGTTTTTTACATCTAGAAGTCTTCACTAAGGCTGGGTGTGGTGGCTCATGCCTGTCATCCCAGCACTTTTGGAGGCCAACATGGGAGGATTGCTTGAGCTCAGACATTCAAGCTGGGACATACAGTGAGACTATTTCTACAATAAATTAAAAAAATATCTGGACATGGTAGCACACACCTGTATTCCCAGCTGTTCAGGAGGCTGAGGCAGAAGGATCACTTGAGCCCAGGAAGTTGAAGCTTCAGTGAACCCTTATTGTGCCATTGCACTCTGGCCTGGATGACAGAGTGAGAACCTCACACACATACACACACACAAAGTCTTCACTAAATGTGATAAAGTGAGGTTTTAAAAATAATTACCAGTCTTAGTGCTTAGAAGACAGTAAATAAGAAAAGGTAGAACTAACACTTTGTCATAAGAATTTCACAGAAGGCTGGGTATAGTGGCTCACGCCTATAATCCCAGCACTTTGGGAGGCCGAGGTGATAAGATTGCCTGAGCTCACAGGTTCGAGACCAGACTGGGCAACTTGGCAAGACCTCATCTCTACAGTAGATCAAAATATTGGCTGGGTATGGTGGTGCACGCCTGTAGTTCCAACTACTTGAAAGCCTGAGGCAGAAGGATCTCCTGACTCCAGCAGGTTGAGGCTACAGTGGCCGTGAGTGTGCCACTGCACTCCAGACTGGGCGACAGAGTGAAACTCTGACTCAAAAAAAAGAGAATTTCACAGAAAAAACAAGTATGGGTAGTATATACGTGGAAATATACTTTAGACAATAGAACTGGAAAATATAAAAATTTAGCTTTCTTTTAAATAATAAATTAATTCTGAATTAAGCTTATTAAAATTATTTTTTATTTTTATTTTTGAAAGCAGGATTTATTGAGAAGACAGAAAAGCTCCCACAATGGGAGGGGACCCGAGGAAGTTGCCCCATTTTTTATTTTTAAAATGTTATTTACTTGAATTAAAACTTTCATTTAGGTTACTAAATTTTATGATTTAAAAAAATAATTGATAATATTTAGGAGATATTCATTTCTCTTTTATTTTCCTTTTTTCTTTCCTGGTCTTTTAAACATAATCCATTTTACTTAAAGAAAGATTCTGTATGTTTAGCCTCATACGATTCACTTTTCTAGTAGCTTTATGCTGCAGAGGAAAAAAGTTTGAGAAGCACAGTTGTATTTTGCTTTTTAAATAGTAAGAATTTAAGTGTTCTGATGTCAATGTAATGGAAGAAATGTTTTTTTCTAGAAAGTAGTGAAGCTCTGGAAAGTGGTATTAAATTTTTACATGCAGTTTTAATCATTGAGCTAATTCTACCCTCTGTCTTTCATTATTCAATTTTGACAGCTAAAATAATCACTGTAGAAATTAAAATATTATTGAATGCCGCTGACCACAGTTTTAAAACACAAAGTATATGAATATTGCAGGTGTAGTGATGGTTTGTGTCGTTCTGCGTTACATGAAATACCGCTGGACAAAAGAGGAGGAGGAAACAAGGCAGATGTATGACATGGTGGTAAAGATTATAGGTATAGTATTTGTACAAGTCTGAACTATTTCTAGAATAGTCACTGTGTGATAAACTATATCACGGTGTCAAGTGATTGAGTCATTTGTAAACTTGGTATATTTTCAGATGTTTTACGAAGTCATAATGAAGCTTGCCAGGAAAACCAAGATTTACAACCGTACCTACCTGTTCCACATGTGCGTGATTCCTTAATACAGCCTCATGACAGGTGTGTTCAAAGCACACAGGTGAACTGATCAGAATACAGGTGTCTGCAGTGTTGAGAGTTGTGACCCTTCTCCACTGGCCTTATCTTACTGAACAGACTTTTTTGCACTTTACACACTTGTTTCTTCTGAAATTGTCTTGGCTCCTCCTGATTTTGAGTGTCATAATAGATAACTGAATTTCTAAATTATGCTTCATTCTTTATTTTAGTCTCCATCTTATTTCCTTTAATTTCATCTTGGTAAAAAAATTCAAAAACAAAAAAACAAACTGGTGAGCATTTTAGTCATGTTTTTTAAAAAGCACTTAGGGGGACCCATGAAAAAACAGAATTGTCTTTTGGAGGGCATATGCCCTTTGAGGCACAGGCTTCCCCTTCTAGGTAAGTGTTCTAGGAACCCATCGGCATCCATGGACCAGCTAATGTTGTTGTGAGATACTGCATTCAGCTTTAGTTAATTTTTTTGGAGATTGTTTCAACACATTTGCCCATTTCATGATGGGTGACTTATGAGCACCGCTGCCACACCACACTGAGTGTGCAGCAGTTTTTGACCAAAAACGGCATGATCCCTGTGCCTCACTCTCCCGTGTCACCTAGTTTTGCCCTAAGCAATTTTTTTTGGTTGTTTCCCTGGATGGAAAACATCCTGAAAGGGTGGTATTTTACCCGCATGGAAGAAGAGAAAGAAACAGCAGAAGCACTGAAAGGCATCAAAATTGACGTGTTCAGAAACTGTTTCGAGCATGGAAAAAGCATCTTGATTAGGTTTATTGCATCAAATGGAGAATACTTTGAGGATGACTGAAGTTTACACATGTAAGAATAAATACACAGTTTTTTATAAATTCCATTTTTGTGTGTCCCCTCATATTTTGTGATCAATCAGTGAAGCTTTAAATGCAAAAACTGAAAACAAACTTGTTGAAAATAAAAGATGGTGCCATATCCTAAGCTGCTCGCTTAACCCTGACAGCATACCATCGCCAGCAGAGCTTTGGGAGAAGAGTCAGATGCTCATGCTTGAGCTCTGGAGATTGACATTCAGTGCATCTGAGGTGAGGAACAGGCGTCTAGAAGTGTCTGAAACAAGCTCCAGGAGTAGTGGCAAGGACAGCTGAGTTAGCAGCAACCATTGCTTCTGTTAATATTATTTCCGAGAGATGCTAAGCTGGAATGATAGTAACTTTGTCATTTTGTTCGTGTGATAGGAAAAAAATGAAGACGGTCTGGGATAGAGCCGTCGACTTCCTTGCCGCTAACGAGTCTCGAGTCCGCACGGAAACGCGAAGAATGGGGGGTGCAGACTTTCTGGTCTGGCGCTGGATTCAGCCTTCTGCGTCCTGTGACAAAATCCTAGTCATACCTTCGAAAGTATGGCAAGGGCAAGGTGTGTATTTTTAAACACAATAAGGGTAATTGTCTTCTAATTTCTCAAAAGTGGCACAAGGCCTATGTGTATAACTGAGGGCAGCTGACAGTTGAAGGCACCTGCAGGCAGAGCTCCCCTTCCGGTCCTCCCTGGGGGAAGCGGTGCCCACTTCTGGCGCCCCTCCACGCCACACTTCTTGCTGTGGGGTCCTTTTCTTGACTGGGTGAAGACCGGTATTCCTTGAATCTTGCTTTTTTCACTTAAAAAATAACTTAGTATTATTGATCTTAGCTGCGTTCTTTCTGTCTAATTTATGTAATAAGACACAGAATTTGTTCTGTATAGCTTTATATATATATATATATATATATAAAACATGTGAGTGAAATCATAACTTTTCAACTCTCTTTTTTTCAATTTTTGCTTGTCTCCCCAGTCTTTCTCACTAAGACCCTTCCACCTGTATATCTGTCCTGCCAAGTAACTTGTGTGGGCATTCTTCCACATTTCTCTTTTTTTTTTTTTTTT